ATCAGCTGCGACCTAAAAAATTCCGCTTTTCCATAACTTTCCTAAATCCTAAATTCGCAGAAAATCCTTGAAACAACAATAATTTCTTAGCAGAAACAAAATATCACACCTGGAAATGTTGTTTCATTTCGCTAGTTGTTGAATAAATATCTGAGCAACCTCGCAATGGACATACAACTGACCAGTCAAAATGCTCTTTCAAGACGTGATTCTTTCGTCCACTTGCGCTAGCAAATTCTTTTCCACAACCGGTGCACTGCAAAACAATCGAAATATTATTTCGTTTAAAAAATTATTTCATTTTTGCAAACAACCTTCTTCATGGCGCTAAAGCAACCCGATAGTGCTAAAGCCTTGCCAAGTACTGCCTGTGTTGAAAGAACCGCCCAGCTGATTGCCCCTTCAGGGGATAAAATTAAAATCAGGATCGCCAACAGACTGACGAACAGGTGATGCGGACTGAAAAAGTTGCCATTTGCATGGAAGTGCCAGACTATGAAATATAGCTGGTCCAAGTAACCAGTTCTTTTGGCGGAGATATGGCCGATCAGTTGACAGTGGATTGCTGAAGGACACTCAAAAGCTAAAGACACAAATATTGGGAAAGCCAGCAGCAGCAGATAACTGAAGTACCAAAGCGAATGTTCAATTTTTTGCTATGTAACAACAACAATTAACAAGTTTCTGGTAAATAACTTCCTGAAAGAGGATACCAGACAATCTTGCCAGCGGACGTATCACTCTATTTCCAAGTGAGGAGCGTAAATAGAGAAGAATTTGATGCCACGCAGAAAATTTTTAAACAAACACTGTACTGTTTGTTAACAGCCCAGCATAATATGGAACAAAACTTCGCTCTACTGGTGATAGCGATTCTGGAAGTGCGATAGAGGCTAACAATCACAGGTGCGCTAAAAAATCGAGAAAATGGAACAGTGAATATGAGACTTCCTGTTTTTTTTTTTTTTTCTCAGCTGAATAAATAAAGAAAACAGTAAAACGAAGGCCAGAATCATCGGCACGTTGTTTAAAAGGCAGCGTAATTCTGGCAGAGGACAAAAACATGGAAAGACTGTCAACTGCATGAGGATGTAAAGAGGAGTTATGAGAAACTACATTTGCTCAAAGTACACGGTAATACAGCGGGAACAAACTGTATAACCGGATAACTTATTACCTGATAATCGCTTGAATCCGTAAATGATGGGAAGCACGCTTGAACAGTGGATGAAAGCAATATGTTTATTTCGGGATCGTCTGCACGAACATGTTGCGCAAGTACATGACATCTCCTGGATAAGTAATTATCATCCACTTTCTGAAAACAAACTCTCCCACAACAATTTTTTTAAAAAATATTTTGAAAAGCCCGAGCAAGCAAGCCATGATACAGATTTTCAACAATACTTCAGCGCGAACAAACTCAATGATTTTTGAGATAAAATCTCGCTGAATTATCCCTCCACATTCATGCACTGTGAGAGGAAAAAAGCTGCTCCAGCACAAATACTGCCACCGTCACCAAATCTCGGTCAAGGATATCGATGGCTTTTTTTCACAAAAGTCGTTTAGAAGCGAGCTGATGCCAGTTTCGGTTCTCTGGCTTGTGTCAGCATTAATTTGCCATCGGGGCTAATTAACGAATCGCACAGGGACTGTTTGTACCTCCCCCGCTCTTTACCACAAAAAGGCGCTTCCTAACATTAGCAATCACTCAAAAAAAAAAAAAAAAAAGAAAAAAAGAAAGAAAGAAAGAAAATGCAAGCAACAAACCTCGCCGCATTTTTGGCAAAAAATTTTTTCAAATGTTGCTTCAGCATTATACACAGGTGCCCGGAGCTAAAAAACCAATCAGATAATGCAAAAAGCAAGCGGATTAACAAACATTTAAATCTAAAAAAAAAGATTGATTACACTGACAGCTATAATCCACAACCTGATCTTCAATTACGCGGGCGGCCATTCTTCCACCTTTTCTGACCAGCGGTGCCAGCGGTTTACGAGCCCGTTTTGTCCCCTAAAAGAATTACTAGTTTAATCGTACTGCGAGGGGACGAATACTATGGGAAAACTATAAAAATGAAGGACGCTACGAAGTCAAAGTGCAAACCCTCGTACCTTTTGTGACGGATGCAAGCACATGAATAATGTAAAACAAACTAACTACTGCTAAGACATACAATATCCCTTCCTTCCAACGAATGATCAGCAGAGATGCCACTGACAGCTTTGATTCTCTGGCATACGTCAATACTTATTGTCGAAGCAGTGCTCCACACATGAAGGAAGTTACGTTCTCCTCCACAGTACAGCTTCTACACAATGCCCAGGAGTAAAAAAAGCTTATGGTGATTGATATACCGTAAATGCCTGGTAAAGAACCTTATCGAGATCTAACAGTGACAACGACGGTGATACTCAGCACAGCTCAAGAATGGTCGCTCAGAACTGCCATGTATTTTTTTTTTCTAGTAAAAAAGTTAGGACGCTAACTGCTCCGGAAGATGAAACACATCCCTAGCAGGTCAGCCACTGGGCGATGAAAAATTGGTTAAAACAACAGGAGAAGCAGTCAGCTGCGCCGATGGGAATCAAAAGTGTGAACTTGATTTCCGATGTTGTAAATGCCATGCGAAGCTCACACACACACTAACAATACGAGTAGCAAAATTAGAAAAGAGCCAGGAAATCAGAACCGTTTTTTCTCCGCTAATCGAATCGCGCTGCACAGTGTTTCTCTCATGATTCGCTGCATTCACTATGGCTGGCAATTCCACAACTGCATCGGAACAGGATCGTGGCTGTTCGAGTCCAAGTGAATCGGAAGTGCCTGTTTCTGGATCAGCTCGTGCTGCAGTTATATCCTGTGAATCAGATTCTCTTTGCTCTTCATCGTCCGAACTTATTGTAACCACAATGTCGGGTGGTTCACTTTCTATCTTTTTACCGTCTCCGCCTACCTTAACGCTATCATCCTGA